CTAAAACGGCTGCAACAGTAAAACTGTTTCATTAAACGAACTCTAAAAGGAGTAATATTGAGGCTATTACCACTTCTGAGTAGTGAAAATTGAAGCTTATTAAAAGAGCTTTACGATGCATTTTACCGAATTTTGATATCTTGTATACTTCAGTAATTATACCAAGTTGAAGTAGTAAAAACATCAATTATTACGATTTTCAAAATTTCGAAATCCTGTCATTTTCAAATTACTCGCCCAATTAAGCTCATCTTCGAACTTAACCTTGGTCTTAATCGATAGATGAAGCATGTTGAGTTTGAAAAGAATCGGTTATAAATTGAAAACGTTATCGTGCTGACAAGCCGCGTTATATCGTCTTTTGGTGAAGTATTAACTGTGAATAATTATGAATAATTTCTCTCATTACAATTTGGATATTTTTTCCTATGAGCAGTGATTTTTTAAAATTGAACTTGAATTTCATTACGGAATCTAAATCAAGAGCAAGCTAGTACTTCCGGATGTATACTGAAGTTAAGTTTTTATTTAAGAACATGTAGGACAGGTGAATATTTAAATTTTGAACATGATGCTGGGACACTTTTTGACCGAATGAAAATCATGAAGCTTTGCAGGAGTACGTAAATAGAAGTCTTTCGTGAATTGATTCTTTTATTTTTGAATTTAATCATTAAAAAAAAATGATAAATAAACAGGTAGAGTTCGTGCTTAAAACTGCCTTATCTCAGGAGTCATCACATATTTAAGTAAATAAGCTTGACTATAAAGAAATTGTCAATAAACTTACAACCAATATAATCTTTGAGACTGATTTAATTTTTTGGTTTTTTCTTATTTGAGTTTATTTGACTTATAAGACATAATTATTAAAACGCAGCTAGGTTAGGGTAAAAAACTAATTGTCAACAAAAAATTTAATTTACTATATATTTCTTTATGTAGGCCGCAAGAGAGTGCTAAAAGTAAATTATCTAGTTAAATTTTTTTAAGCAGTGGTTAGAGTATTTACAAAGTCTGGTAATCTCCTTCAGTGCATTTTACATGTGGTTCAAATAAACAAACCGATATATTAAATTATCATTTGTAATCACTGGTCCAGACTGAATTACCGATATCAGACTGTATACCATGTTTTTAAGAAAGAAATATAAATTACATAATCAAATAATTTGAAACAGAAAATGTGATACAACATGGATTCTAAAATCATATCTGATTGAATTTTCTTTTATTGCGAGTATTTAAAGCTTAATAACTTTTTACTCGTTAAGATTACGAAAAAACTACTTCAATATTTTTTTGTAGAGAATTAAATTTTCTACAAGGATCATTGACGAAAAATACAAAAAAAAAATTTTTCCGTAGTTTTACCAGATGAAAACGTAAATAAAATTTTTTTACGTGTTATTTAAATGGGAAAATAACAATTCATTGAGCTTCATGAGGAATTAAAATATCAAGCTGCGCTTTGGAGAGAATTTTTTGTATACCTTAGAAAAGTTTTTGAGACAGCAGCACTTGAAAAAAAAATAAAAATGTTTTTTTTGGACCACTCTAATGTGTAGTAGGCTTAAAATAATTTTAATCAAAAATAGATTTCAAAAGAGAAGAAAAAAAATTTCGAAAATAAATTTTCTTGATCCCCGACCCGAAAGTACGGTCCTTCTGGTAGCCGTTTGCTCCAGAATGAACGACTTTTATGGCTCACACGAATTACAGCGTGCTCTGGTGGACTATGAATTTTTTCTGGCTCGGTCGTGTGACTTTATTCACAAGCGTGTTTGTGTGAATATACTTACACACTCACCGTAGAGTGTATAGTATGTAGCGCCGGCGCTCTGACAGCTGTACATAACCACGATTTCATTGGCGTAAACAATATGTACTATTAAATAATACTATTAATAATATAAAAATCAATAATATAAATCTTAATATAAATATTAATAACATAAATATTAATAATAGAATCGTTTATTATTATAATTGAAAAAAATTTTCAGTAAAGTTCAGTGTGATTAAAAGTGTTGTTAGCATGGATTCATCATCCGATGGTTCTCTAGACGAGGAGGAAGTATTCAAGAATTTTGATAACGAAGCTCAAGTCATTGTACGTAGTGGTTCACTTGCAAAAAAATCTGCTGATCGGTATCTGTTAGTTTATAACACATACCAGGCATGGAGAGAAGATAATAAAAAGTCATTATCAAAGAATGAAGAGAATAATTTGATTGTTTATTTCGAGGGGTTAAAATCAAAACTCTCACCACCGACTTTGTGGAGTATATGGAGTATGTTGAAGAAAACTCAGTGTAAATAATGACATCGATATCACTAATTTTTAAAAATTGAAAAGTTTGATAAAAACGAACGCAAAAGGTTACAGACTTCGAAAAGCTTTTGTGCTGAAATGGGAACAAATTATGGAATTTATGAATACAGCCCCAGATTATGATTATTTAGCGAAAAAGGTAATAATAACTAATACTTTACTTAACTAAGAGAAGTTTTCTATCAATTAAATATTAATTATATTAGTATATAAATAAATGTTAACTATGTCAATTAAAATTTTTCAGGTTATACTTATTTTCGGAATTTGCGGTTGCATGAGATGTTTCGAAATTAGTAATCTTCTACAAGAAAATGTTGAGGACTTGGGAGATAAGATTCTGGTTACGATTAATGATAATAAGAATGATTATCCGGGTCAATTTATTATTGGATCAATGTTCTATCAAAAAATAAAAAAATATATTTTTTTAAGACCATCTGACAACTTTTCTGATAGATTCTTTATCAGATACAGTCAGGGTAAATGCTATTGCCAGCCAATTGGTAGGCACTCAATAAGCGGAGTACCACAGAAAATTGCTTCTTTTTTGAATTTACCGAATCCTCAACGGTACACCGGTCACTGTTTCCGAAGAACCGCCGCAACTCTTCTGTCAAACTCTGGCGCAAACATGCAGATGGTAAAACAATTAGGAAGGTGGCGTTCTGACATAGTAGCTCAGGGTTATATTGAAAATTCTATGCCCAATAGAGAAATGATATATAATGGAATTATACAGAAACCTGGACTCAGCACTCGAACAAACTCATCATCTTCTACGCAATTCAGACTCAAACCTGGAAGAAAAAATAATAAAGGACTATCATCGACTATCATCGGCTATCATGACTATCATCGGCTAAAGAAGTGATTAACAATCCTGGAACTAGCTCCGGAGTTCGCTCGTTACCTTTGGTGCAGGACATTAGCAACTCAGGAACTAACTGTCATGATAAACACCCAGCTAGTTTGCAGACGATTAATAATCCCGAAACCAATTCTCAGCATAAACTATCAAATAGTACCCAGGTGATTAATAGCCCTGGAACCGAGTCTCGAAATGAACAGTCAACCGATGCGCCGGCGATCACCAACGCTGAAACTGACAACGATGATTTTCATGTCAATTGGGATGACTTTGAAGAGGACTTTACTGTTGACAATGTTAATTCGATACAAGGTAAAATTATTCATCTAATCACAAAAATATATTGAGAGTTTTATTTTTCATTAAAATAATATACTTTTTTTCAGATCGAAGTGTAAAAAGTGGTTTTACAACTGCCAGGAACAAGACAATACTGATACCAGTAATAAATCAAAGTGACATAAATAATAATACAAAACAATTGTTTACCAACAAGACAGCGGTGAAATTAAATTTTAGTCATCAAGAGAAAAGTTACCAAGCGTCATTAAAAAAAACACAAAACAATGATAAACACACTATTCGCACTAATAAAGACACGGCTTCCATAATGGAGAAAGGAGGGTTAAAATTAGAACATTGCACCTTAAATAATTGTGTTTTCAACCTAAATTTATGATCGTGCAATAAGGAAAACTAAATGTAAAAAATCTGCCTACGTTTAATTTTTAATTAATATTACTGATGATAATTATTCAAAAGTATTATGGTAACGTGATATGAGTTAAGACTTAATACTTCTGTGTAATATTAACATAAGTGAAAATGTAAGCTTAGCTAATATATTATTTCTTAGAACATATTATGTATTTTTTTTTGCCCGCCCCGACCAGCGAAACCTCGGCTTCGCCTCGGCTTTGCAAAAGTCGGGCGGGCCGCCCCCTCCCCCCTTTGTTTGTATTTCCGTACTTTCGGTTGGAGATCAAGAAAAATAGTATACAACCCACCGCCAGAATGTTGGATACCCTGACGCATGGGATATAGAAGCCTAGGCTTCGCCTCGGCATGCGCCAGGAAATCCAACTTTCTGGCCTTGGGTTGTGTAAAATGCTGAAAGAGCGGAAAAGCGGGGATCAGGTTTCGGTCTAGATATCTCAATTAAAACGCGTAAATTATTATCAAAAATAACACTAGATATTTATTAACAATAAATACACTAAAGATTTAACTTGTTCAATAGCGGATTTTTTAGATAAAAGCGGATTTGTAATACACATCATGGCTTGCAAAAGCGAAGCCGGTTGAAACGAGGTTGAAAACTCTGCTGGCACTGAGAAAGCGGTGAATTACTGCACAAATAACACAAATTATCTGTAACAAACTTAAAATAAATTAAGCACAATTTATTAAAGCGGATTAGTAATCAATTAAGCGAGATAGCGGAATTTTATAACTCAAGCGAGTTGAAATAGCGGGAAAGCGAAGCGTTAGACTTAATTGCGGAGAAGCGAAAGATAATAATAATAATTCGTCTTAAATTAATGTGTTGTAATCCGAGGATTAAGGATCATGAAATAAGTTAATACTAGATTTTTATTTTACGCAACGTTTCGGAGTTTATTACTCCTTCCTCAGGCGTCTGTGGAAATATACAAATTTTATACAATTAATTATTTTAATACAGAACAACACCTCAAAATCTCTTAACTAACTCAATATCACATACCATAAAAGATTTATGTATTAACCTCGTCAACAAACAATAAATGTTGCTCTGTCGTTTCCATCGTAGTCTACAAATTCTAGTCAATACCCGAGTTATCTTAATTTTTACCAAATATTTACTTCTTTAAAAATATTTTTTAAAAAACTTTAAAAAATACTATTATCAAATTATTTATTTTTATAAAAACTTTTTAGTCAAAAACACAGCCACCTATCAGTCGAATGTCAACAATCAGCCATATTGTCTCCAAAAACACCTGACCTGACCTACAAACCTAACGACCTCTAGCGGTATGCAAACTACTCAACTAATTTACCGACTACCGTGTGCAGACACAGCAGACGATAAGTCAACTATAATTCCCCAACACTAGAAATATTCAAAAATAAATAAAATTAAAATTACAATAAAATCTACTGCACAAATGTCAACCATTATAAATTATTCTATAAATCCAAAGGTCTGTATATCCCGATGAAACGTTCCACTGTCCAATGAGAATTGATCCTACAGGTTTAACCCGTTTTTCATCCGCTTGTACAAATCCATCAGAAAGTTATAATGATCACTCAAGTTTTCCGTGTCTGTCTTTAAATTAACCGTATCATTCAAATGGATGAAAATCATCTCACTTAAGTTCCGTTTCTTGCCACAACACTCCATATCTAAGATCTTGACCTTCCTTAATGTAAACCAAAACATATGTTAATGGAGCGAAAAAAATACGTAGCCGTCCCAAATAAATCACTCTAATATACATAGTAAAAAAATTTAGCGTCATCGCGTCAAAAAATTTTGTGTTAAAAATTTTTGTGTTAAATATTTAACACTTTTATGTGTAAATTTAACATTTATTTTGTTAAATTAACACAAAAAAGTGTTAAATATTTAACATAAAAATTTTTAACATAAAAACTTTTGACGCAATGACGCGAAATTTTTTACTGTGTATAATAAATTATTAATAATTAATAAATTAAGTATAGAACTTCGTCAGCTATAAGGATAAGTCATGTATAAAATTTAAATTACTTTAAGTAGTTTGAAAGGTACAAGAGAGTTACGATAAGTCATTGGGTCAACAGGTAAAGTATCAGTCTATAAAGCGCAACGTACATGGTTTGAATCTCCGTCGGCACCAATCTTTTTTTTTTTTATAGACCTGATCGAGTCAGACATGAACAGGTCTGATCAGACATGAACATGCCTGGCCAGGTCTGATCAGACCCGGTCATTTTTCAGATCTGATCAGACCTGAAGACTCATGCCTGTTCATATCTGATCAGATCTGATCATTTTTTCCCGGGAGCTACATAATTGATTGATAGATTGCAGTATAAAATTTTTCTATCGACCGACCAGCGATTTTGAAACAATTATTCGTTTTACCCGCCCTCTCCGTCTTGCCCGCCCGTACCCTATCTAAATATGAATATAAAAAAACCTGAAAATTTGTTAAAAAAATTCTATAATTTTTGCTTTTTTTTTAAATTCTGGTCAAAGAAGCTACGCAACTTTGTCCAGGTCAGGAAAACGAGAATATTATTAAAGTAAATTTTCGTAGATAATGCTGTCCGCTCCACCTATTGTCTATCTGAATATGAATATGAAAAAACCTGAAAATTTGTTGAAAAAATTCTATAATTTTTGCTTATTTTTTGAATTTTGGTCAAAAAAGCTACGCAACTTTGTCCAGGTCAGAAAAACGAGAAAAATATATCAATACATTTTTGTAAAAAACGTTTTTCTCTATAATTATTGTCTATCGAAATATCAATCTCAAAATAACCTGAGAATTTGTTGAAAAAATTTAACAATATTTGCTTGTTTCTTGAATTCTGGTCAAAGAAGCTACGTAAGTTTATCCAGATCAGGGAAACGAGAGAATCATTTTAGTACATTTTTGAAGAGAATGTTCTTTATTATAATTATCGTCTATCTAAATATCAATATAAAAATAACCTGAGCATTTGTTCGAAAAATTCAACAATTTTTACAAATTTTTTAAATTCTAGCCAAAAATGTCGCGTAAGATCATCGAGGTCAGAATAACGTTAAAATTATATCTGTCCATTTTTGCAAATCATATTTTTCTCTATAATTTTTGTCTGTTTGAAAAACAATCGAAAAATAACCTGAGAATTTGTTGGAAAAATTCAATAATTTTTCCTAATTTTTCAAATTCTAGCCAAAAAGACCGCGTAACATTGTGTAGGTCAGGATGACGAGAAAATTGTATCAGTACATTTTTGTACAGATCGTTTTCTCTATAATTATTGTCTATGTGAATATCAATCTGAAAATAACCTGAGAATTTGTTGGGAAAATTCTACAATTTTTCCTTATGTTCTTTGGACTCTGGTCGAAGAAGATACGTAACTTTGGCCAGTTCAGGGAAACGAGAAAATTATTCTAGTTCATTTTTGTAGAGAATGCTCTCTTCTATATCTATTGTCATATCTGAATATTAATATAAAAAAAAACCTGAGAATTTACTGAAAAAATTTTTTAATTATTGCCTGTTTTTCAAATTCTGGTCAAAGAAGCTACGTAACTTTGTCCAGGTTAGAAAACCAAGAAAATATATCAATACATTTTTTTAGAGAACGTTATTCTCTATAATTATTGTCTATCTAAATATCAATACAGCAATTACCTGAGAATTTGTTAAAAAAATTTAACAATTTTTTGAATTCTATCCAAAAAGGCCACGTAATTTGGTCTAAGTCAGAAAGATGAGAAAATTATGTCAGAACATTTTTGTAGAGAATTTTTTTCTCTATAATTATTGTCTTGAAAAGTATTTAAGTATATTTTTGTAAAAAATGCTCTCCTCAATATCTATTGTCTATCTGAATATCTATCTAAATAAAACCTGAGAATTTGTTGAAAAAATTCTACAAATTTTGCTTGTTTTTTGGATTCTGGTCAAAGAAGCTACGTAACTTTGTCAAGCTCAGGAAAACGAAAAAATAATATTTGAACATTTTTGTATTAGAGAATTTTTTCCCTATAATAATTGTTTATTCACAAATCAATTTAAAAATAACCAAAGAATATATGTTTATTTTTATTTATTTATCAAACAATGAACCCAACAGCATGGTGAATAACAGGGTTCCATACAAGTAGAAATGTACATAGTATGGAGTATACAATAGAAAAATAAAATAAAAAGGAAAAATATAAAATTATTAATAATTCGTACAATTATATATAAAGTGGTAACATAAATTTAAGAGTCACTCATGCATTTTTTTATGTTGAAAAAATTCTACAATTTTTGCTGGTTTTTTTAAATTCTAGCCAAAAATGCTAGGTAACTTGGTCTAGGTCAGGATTACGAGAAAATTATATCAGTAAATTCTTGTAGAAAATAATTTAATTTCTATATGATTATTGTCTATCTGAATATCAATCTAAACAAAACCTGAGAATTTGTAGAAAAAATTTAACAATATTTGCTTGTTTCTTAAATTCTGGTCAAAGAAGGTGCGTAACTTTGTCGAGGTCACGAAAACGATAAAATCATTTCAGTACATTTTAGAAGAGAATGTTTTTATTATAATTTATCGTCTATCTAAATATCGATATAAAAATAATCTGAGCATTTATTCAAAAAATTTTACAATTTTTACTAATTTTTTAAATTCTAGTCAAAAATGCCGCGTAAGTTCGTCAAGGTCAGGATAACGAAAAAATTATATCTGTACATTTTTGTAAAACATATTTTTCTCTATAATTTTCGTCTATCTGAAAAAAAATCTAAAAATAACCTGAGAATTTGTTGGAAAAATTCTACAATTTTTCAAATCCTAGCCAAAAAGACCACGTAACTTTGTCTATAGGTCAGGATGACGAGAAAATGTTATTAGTACATTTTTGTACAGATTGTTTTTTTTTTTTATAATTTTTGTCTATCTGAATAGTAAGAATCTAATAATAACCTG